CTATTATGCCGCCCACAGTTGGAATCAGCTTCCAGAAGAGATCAGATGTGCTAAAACATTAGTCACATTTAAATGCATACTCAAAACTCATCTGTTTAGCTGTGCATTTACTGAATGAGCACTGTGCTACGTCCGAACTGATTGCACTGTATTTTAAATATAGTCATTTTCTATTTTTAACGGTTTTAAATTCATTTTAAATCAATTTTTAAATAATTAAAAAAGTTTTGAAATTCCTCGTTTTATTGTTGTGATAATTATTTGATTATTTTACTTCCTTTTATGTAAAGCACTTTGAATTACCATTGTGTATGAAATGTGCTATATAAATAAACTTGCCTTGCCTTGCCTAATATACAGTGATTGTGCATTAACAGCTGCCAACTATGTCCGTACGCAAGTAAGTAGTCTGAACTTATTTACCCAGCGCAATTCATTGCATCCCTGACCCTGACTACAAACTACAAATTGGACAAAAATGTAATGAAAGCTCAAAAGTCCACAGGAATACTGTGCTATATTCCTTCTGAAGCCAAACTGATACTTTCATGAGAAACAGAATGGAATTTCAATTATTATTAACTGATCAAAACAACATGATGGAGAGTGAATAATGACAGAATTGTTATTTATTGGTGAACTAGTCTGAAATTCACATCTATCCTCATTGATAAGATGCTTTTAAACAGAGAGTTTGTGAAGATGTGATGCTGCATTATGGGTGATTTAGGCCAGATTCACCTAGTCGTTTGAGTGTTGTGTACTGACGTGATTGGTGAGATCCCACACACTGAGCTCTGCTGACTGCGGTGCATCTGAGGACGTGATGTGAGGTGTTGCTTCACTGACTCACTGAACCTCTGATGAGTCCTCACCAATCCAGCCAGTGGATCCATTTATTACTCAAACTATTAGTCATATTGATAATTGCAAAATAAATCGACATAAAGCAGTTCAGAATATGACATATTCTATTATTTATTCAGTATGCTAGATTTAATAAGACCTCCTGCAGTCCGTAATTGTATCCCTTAAAATCCCTCTCGAGCTAGTCTTAGACTGCTCACTGCTCCTAGAGCTAAATTAAAACAAAGAGGAGAATGTGCCTTTGCTGTTACTAGCCCTAAACTCTGAAACGGTTTACCGTTTCACACTAGGTCCACACCCACTTTATAGATTTTTAAATCTTTATGCAAAACTTATTTTTCTATTGCTTTTAATTAGGGATGCACCGATACCACTTTTTCCAGTACTCGCCCGATACCGATACTTTTATTTTTGGTACTTGCTGATACCGAGTACCGATACCGATATTTTTATTGCATTTGTAAATGTTTTAAATATTGGGTACAGAAACCAAAAGGGTATGTATAATGTTTCATTTATCAAATAGATACAGTCAAACCTAAATTTATTCAGACACCTTCAACATTTCTCACATTATCACAGTTTATTCGCTATAGTTTAGAAAATGGTAATAAAATATAACAAGAACTCAGAGTTAAACTGTGTTAGAACAAATTCAGCTTGATAATGTCAGATAACTTTGATAGAAAGGTATGTAATAGATTACAATCAACCAAAAATTAGACAGCTGTTAGTATGACAGTATTTACACAACTATCAATACTTTGTCGGGCGACCCTTAGCCTTAATGACAGCCTGTGGTCTCCTGGGCATGCTGTCACCCAGCTTCATGCAAACCTCAACTTCAATTTTACTGGTAGTCCACTGTATGAAGAATTTTTGGGTATGATTTGTCACAGTTTACTTTATTTTGCTATCCTCACTTACATAAATGAACTATAGTGTCCTGCACCCACTAGTAAAAAAAATATCAAAAATTATATCTGGTCTCTGAATAATTTTTGGTTTGACTGTATATATTTTCACACTTAATTATGCCCATTAAAATGTATTTTACAAGTTTTTGTTACTTTCACTGTTAATGTTTTTGCTCTATGGTACATCATCTTTAATGTAATAGCATTAGAGCTGCTCCATTGCAGCGGCTCAGTACTGTAATCACGCGCTTTGCTGTAATAATGCAGGGAACCACTCGCTATAAATCTCCTAACTGTGATATTTTCAGAAATAGAAGTCGCGTCTTTTCATCTGAAACGTGCTGCTATTTATATTCCAAAGCCACTCATAATGCAGAAACACTCAAGCAAGCAAAACGCACAACACGTGCACATATTTGTACTGATTCAGAATGAGAGGACAGTAGTACAGCCTTCACACAGGCTGCTAGATTCACTTTCGCCTGAAAGTCGTGCATGCCTAAGGTTGAAAATAGATGATGTTTATAGTGAATGCCTCTATAAATGGTCTTATTTTTATGATTTAGTTTTAATCCAAATGATGCGTGTGCTAAGTGAGTGAACATCAAAGATCACACAACAGAAGTGCGCGCTCTCTAGACATCCTTAACTCCTTTCTGCTGTCTGTTGTTCTGTTGTCAGTGTTTCTTTGTTTGAATATGGCGCTTAACACATGCTGTGTGGTATCGGCGTTTGGTATCGGGGCATTTTAACGAGAACAAGTACAGGAGACCAGTATCGGTCCCGATACTGATTTAATGTCCCTTGATGACTAACCTTTGCATTTGACTCTTGTTGGCAATTTTGATTAAAACATGTTGTGATACTTTGTTATACCTTTTAAATTTGGATGTAATTGGCTGTTTTCAATTGTGAATTTATTTTTTGATTTCCGTTTACCTTTAATTTATTCTATCTGATGCTGTAAAGCACATTGGTCAGCTGTTGCTGTTTTATTGGTGCTATATAAATAAACTAAACTTGAACTTGAAACTTGAAACTTAAAACTTGTCTTTTATAATCAAAATGATATATTTAAATGTTTTTCCCCCAAAAAATTATTTCTGTATGTCTTAATTTGGCCTGAATGTTACTCTACACCCTTAACTTATTTAGAAAATACGGAACCATGAATATGCTAATTAGCCCCGCCTCCAATCAATCCCAGCAGCTCCGACCTGCTCCACTTCCACTACACAATGGCAGGCAGCCATATTTGATAAACTGTTATCGGAGAGTGAATCTGTGAGTGAATATATTCAAATTCTGAATGGATTGTTAAGTTTAGAAATTGTGCAAAGAGCGCTTCCTTTATAATCACTAAAAAATAACTTTTTATTTAAAAAAATAAAATATAATCAGTGAAGCTCTACACTGCACACTGAGGCCCAGTTTCACAGACAGGGCTTAGCTTAAGCCAGGACTAGGCCATAGTTCAATTAGGATTTTAAAGTAATTTTTATAGACATGCCTTTGAAAAAAACATTACTCGTGTGCATCTTGAGACAAAACAAGGGCATTAACATATTTCAAGATCAATCAATGCAAGTTTCTTTCAGTTGAAACAGCTCAGACTTACATTTTAGTCAATACACAATGTATGCTATAGTGAGAGGGTTCACAAGCTTGCATAACTCAGCACTGGTGAGTGGGTTCTGACTTAAACGCCTCTGATTGGCCACTGCATTCATGAATAAGCAGATCTGTCTATGACTACGTTTATGACGGTTGGAAAGGGAAGTGCATTCAAACTGCATTTTTGAGACTAGTTTTAATGAGAAAATTCTCAGCAATGCTGTTGACTGATGAATTTGCACATGGTTGGTCTGTCTGTTTGTAATATGCGTAAACAACGTTAAAAACTTAAAGTATTAATGTGAATGAGTTATATGTACTGGTATAGTGTTTATATGCATGCACTGTGCCAGTTGTGTGGGTGGAGTGTGTGTGTCAAAGCATGTCTTTTGGCTTTGCCAGAGCCGTGTCTGCTTTGTGTTCTCTGCCTAAATTTAACCTGCACTCTTCAACCAAAGTCAATATGGCATCATGACGCTGTAATTTTCCTCCTACAGACTGGCCAAGGCTTTTCTGCTCCTCTCCGCTGGCACTGATAGTTGTGTGTGTAGAGGGAAACGACTGGCGTCTTAGTGCTTTTTTTCTTCAAACCAAATTATTACAGTGCAACACAAAGTAGTTTTCAAAGGAATAGTTTAAGCCATGACTGACTTTCTTCTGTGGGATGTTTAGAAGAATGTCCAAGCTGCAGTTTTCCATGTCACAACTATTCTGTGTCTTGACAGGCATCTCTGGTTTTCCTCCAGAACTGAACGCTGCTGTTGTGATTGTTTGTAGGGTCCAGCCAGCTGTGTGTCCTTCTCGAGGACCGGAGACTTCTTCGCCTCGGGAGGTGCAGATGAACAGGTGAGCTCATGTATTATCTGCTCAGACGTGAGTGTTCGGCTGTGCTGTGTGCATCGTGTTGATGACGTGACCTGCTGCAGGTGATGCTGTGGAGGACTAACTTTGACAGCGTGGATTACAGTGAGGTGCTGCAGCAGAAAGGCGCTGGAGATGAGAAAGCTTCGGATCACAGAAGCTATAGCCAGCCGTCAGCACAGGTAAGATGATCACATGATCACCTCACCGCAGGTGTTTGCTTCACTTAAAACGCCACTGAGTGCAGAGTCCTCAGCTTCACTCGACTATCACATTCACATAGCCATACAAACATAATAAACTCATGCCAAATTAAAGCATTTTAAAGGGGTCATATGATGCGATCTCAATTTTTCCTTTCTCTTTGGAGTGTTACAAGCTCTTGGTGCATAAAGAAGATCTGTAAAGTTGCAAAGACTAAAGTCTCAAATCCAAAGAGATATTCTTTATAAAAGCTTCCAAAAGAGGACACGACTAGAAATCAGTGGTTAAGTTGTATTTACAACACTGTTCCAGAACACTTCAACCCTAATATTCAGATGTGTGCAGCGCATCTATAGAGGACTGTTTCCTGATCCTGGGAGAGTAGACTACAATGCCGACTGTTCTGTATGTTTTTTTATATTTAAAGAGTTTTTAATAATTTATATATTTAAAGTGAGTTTTTTGGGCAGTGTAGAGTAGGTCTTATTGTTTGTCGTTTCTCCAATCACAAATGCAGATATGGTTTTATGTTTACGCAGCGCAATGCAACACAACGCGTAAAAAGACAGTATAAGTCATTATAATCCGTAATTATGTCCCCACTGGATGCAACAAATGCCTGGTTTATAATGGGTTTTAATGTTTTTGTCTCGTCGCTCCGGCCGGACAGGGCATCAGCACAGTATGGTGAGGGGCGTAACATTTCCGTCACACGCTTGAGGTATTCGGCCAATCACAACGCACTGGATAGCTGGCCAATCACAGCACACCTCGCTTTTCAGACCGATGAGCTTTGTAAAAATTTGTAAAAATCAACGCGTTTCAGAAAGGCGGGGCATAGAGGAGAAACAATAATATACAGTATGTGGGAAATAATGTGTTTTTTTAACCTTAAACCGCATAAACACATTTCATTACACCAAATACACAACATAATGTTCTTTTTAGAAGCATCATATGACCCCTTTAAAAAATGTCACATTTTTTCAAGTGAAGACAAATGTATATGAGTGAGATCTTGTAACGGAGTGTGTCCTGCACCTCTGCTGAATCTGCAGCACCACTGCTATATATAGTTTAGCTGAGTTGTGAACTTGTGAATACTGTATGAGAGAGAGACTTGAAATCAACAATAAACCACTTTCTAACACTGAGTGTACTCGGAAACCTTTAACGTGCAACACAACATGCGGTCTAATTCAAGATGAATCAGTGAAAGTGATTGGCTAATCAGTCAGAAGTGGACACAGGAGTCATTGATATGAATCAGACAGCTCACTTCCCCTCTGAATGCCTCATGTGTGTGACTCATGTGAACTATTACTGTGCCATGGGAACTTTTGGAAAGCAGAATTCAGTCTAATTTGTATGTGTGCTATATCCACAAACCATTCATCAGACTTATTTGTATGGCAACGTGTGGATCATGAGATTCTTGTGTAAAGAGCACTCATTATTCATGACACGTGTATGAGAAAGATTCACTGATAATGAGTGTGTGGGAACTACAAAATAAATTGTAAGTGAATTACATTAGAAGGAAGTTATGTCCTAAACTAATAATTCAATATACAAATAATATCACTCTTTGTGAAGTACATGCATCTGACAGGCTGTAATGCTGTTCTGTTGCAAACAGGACACTTTGTTATTTTGGACAGTGGCCCTCTGGTAGATATGGACCTTATTAGATCCCTATGAAATCCCATTTATTATTATTATTATAATTTTTTTATTTAAACAATGCTAGTTAAAATTCAGACATTCTGTGTTGTAACTTGATTTTTATGGATTCTGTGTTTTATAATTTAATACAAATGTATTATCAAAAACAGTGGCAATCCAGTGAATGCATGCAACTTCTACAATGTAACTGAGTTTTTATAAAAATGTAATCAAATTAAATTTGAAGAATTACTTTCTCTTTTTTTTGGCAAATAAAGTCCTTTACAACAGATGTTTACTCTTAAAATTAAAACATGGAAGAAAAAATGGGTGATATTCCTTAAAAATATTTTTTAATAAACTTTTATTATTACTCCAAGAAGTACATTCTCCTGTACTATAGTTATAGATTTGTCACAATTTGTTCAAGTTAATAATTGTTTTTGTAGATTGTAGTGAAGATCTTTGAGTTTTTGTGTGCATCTGCTAATAGTGTTCTCAAAGTAAATGTTGAAATGCTGCTGAAGAGACTCTCAGAGCAGCTCTGAAGTTTACGCGTTCATGTCCTCATGTAGTGAGATGCAGAGGAGTGCCACGCGTGTGTCAGTATGTGTCACATGCACAACATCCAGACTGTCATTCCGTGTCAACTCAACCAGTGGTCCCCGGCTCAAACGTTTGATTTTGACAATATTTATTCTGAAGAAAGATAAACATGTATAGTGAGGAAAGCCAAAATTTTAAATGTCATGAATGTATATTTACTCAGTAATCCACTATTTTGTAGAGGGGGGGTCAAAATGACAATTTTCACCTGAGATTCAGAGCCAAATTACAGGAGAATAAAAATGACTTCAGAAAGATTGCAGCATCGTTACGTTATTTTACAGAGAGATTGGTAGGTCTATTAGTGAAATCTGTTGACTTCAGCAATCTGTTACAATATATGCCAGTGGTGATTATATAAAAATGGCTAAAAGCACTAAAAGCACCAAAATTTGTATGCCTGTAACTCAAGAAGTATTAAAGATATCTTAATGCCCTTTTAAATTTTGGGTCTTAACAAACTTTCCTTTTGGCATCTTCATTTTTAAGGCTATCTATGGTTCGATTCCAGCTAAATTGGAATCTCAATATGGGTCTAGGAGTAATCTGTTAAATTGTACACATTTTCAATGATCAAAAACCAAATGTGGGTCACGTTGCATACAGAGGATACTTCTTTTCTTTTAAACGGGTCATGAACTGAGAAACCAAAATTCCCTTCATCTTTTGACATATAAGAGGTCAGTGTACTTTCAAAACATTTCAAAACTTTGTCAATAGTCTACAGCTTATATTGAAGGAGATTCAAGTCAAAACGGCCTCGGAAAGCCATTCACAACGTTTTAAAGGGCTCATGAACTGAGAAATAAAATTTCCCTTGATCTTTTGACCTATAACAGGTCAATGTACTATAAAAACATTCTCTAAGTTTCAAAACTTTCTCGTTAGTTCAAAAATAACTTTTATTGAAACCAAGCTCAGAAAACGACTCGTTTTGGAATGTGCCACTTTATGATGTACTAGTGTGGCTAAGCCCCGCCTCCACAGGAGAAGATCAACACCTGCTTCTACATCACTGCCTGTTTAGCCCCACCCACCGATTCTACGTCACTGCCTGTTTAGCCCCGCCCACCGATTCTACGTGTACTTTCAAAACATTTCAAAACTTTGTCAATATTCTACAGCTTATATTGAAGGCAGTCCACCAAAACAACAGCTTTTGGAATGTACAACTGCGATGTAATAGTGTGACTAAACACCGCCTCCACAGAACATGATCAACGCCTGCTTCTGCATCACTGCCTGTTTAGCCCCATCCACCAATTCTATGTCACTGCCTGTTTAGCCCCGCCCACCGATTCTACGGCACTGCCTGTTTAGCCCCGCCCACCGATTCTACGGCACTGCCTGTTTAGCCCCGCCCACCGATTCTACGGCACTGCCTGTTTAGCCCCGCCCACCGATTCTACGGCACTGCCTGTTTAGCCCCGCCCACCGATTCTACGGCACTGCCTGTTTAGCCCCGCCCACCGATTCTACGGCACTGCCTGTTTAGCCCCGCCCACCGATTCTACGGCACTGCCTGTTTAGCCCCGCCCACCGATTCTACGGCACTGCCTGTTTAGCCCCGCCCACCGATTCTACGGCACTGCCTGTTTAGCCCCGCCCACCGATTCTACGGCACTGCCTGTTTAGCCCCGCCCACCGATTCTACGGCACTGCCTGTTTAGCCCCGCCCACCGATTCTACGGCACTGCCTGTTTAGCCCCGCCCACCGATTCTACGGCACTGCCTGTTTAGCCCCGCCCACCGATTCTACGGCACTGCCTGTTTAGCCCCGCCCACCGATTCTACGGCACTGCCTGTTTAGCCCCGCCCACCGATTCTACGGCACTGCCTGTTTAGCCCCGCCCACCGATTCTACGGCACTGCCTGTTTAGCCCCGCCCACCGATTCTACGGCACTGCCTGTTTAGCCCCGCCCACCGATTCTACGGCACTGCCTGTTTAGCCCCGCCCACCGATTCTACGGCACTGCCTGTTTAGCCCCGCCCACCGATTCTACGGCACTGCCTGTTTAGCCCCGCCCACCGATTCTACGGCACTGCCTGTTTAGCCCCGCCCACCGATTCTACGGCACTGCCTGTTTAGCCCCGCCCACCGATTCTACGGCACTGCCTGTTTAGCCCCGCCCACCGATTCTACGGCACTGCCTGTTTAGCCCCGCCCACCGATTCTACGGCACTGCCTGTTTAGCCCCGCCCACCGATTCTACGGCACTGCCTGTTTAGCCCCGCCCACCGATTCTACGGCACTGCCTGTTTAGCCCCGCCCACCGATTCTACGGCACTGCCTGTTTAGCCCCGCCCACCGATTCTACGGCACTGCCTGTTTAGCCCCGCCCACCGATTCTACGGCACTGCCTGTTTAGCCCCGCCCACCGATTCTACGGCACTGCCTGTTTAGCCCCGCCCACCGATTCTACGGCACTGCCTGTTTAGCCCCGCCCACCGATTCTACGGCACTGCCTGTTTAGCCCCGCCCACCGATTCTACGGCACTGCCTGTTTAGCCCCGCCCACCGATTCTACGGCACTGCCTGTTTAGCCCCGCCCACCGATTCTACGGCACTGCCTGTTTAGCCCCGCCCACCGATTCTACGGCACTGCCTGTTTAGCCCCGCCCACCGATTCTACGGCACTGCCTGTTTAGCCCCGCCCACCGATTCTACGGCACTGCCTGTTTAGCCCCGCCCACCGATTCTACGGC